CTGCCGCGGGCGGGCCCGGCCGGGCGAGCCGCCGGGGTGGGGGGGGCGGGGCGAGCCGCCGTGGTAGGCGGGGGGGACTTCACTGGATGTTTAAAGTGGTGTGTTGTACAGCCTAAGATGTATGTGAAATGTATATATTTTTTACAGAATAAGTTATGAAATTATTTTCCTTCTCATCGATGTAAATTTCAGAGGAATTTTTCCAACTTTTTGGTTTTTGTTTTGTGTCCCTCCAAGGTTTGCCCCTCTTTCGTTTAGCCTTCCTGCCGGTTTCCTGCTCCTAACAATCAGATTTTGTTACGTTTTGTATGGGTCGCCAAATCCAAGCTCAGCCACTTTGTAAATAGTAAATTTCAGATTTTGTGATGTATATTTCTAGTGTAAAAATGGCTGTTTTCTTTCACTCCCTCCCTCTACTCGGTGTTTTGGCGGTTTGATTTCTCCTGCCTCTGGATTTTATGCTTAATAATATCAAAAGAGAAAACAACCCAAAAAAGCACGAGAGAAAAACGGACACTTGATTTTACATTGGGATCAAATAATGTCTCCACACGGGTTGGAAAGACTTTGTATAAATCAATAAATTATTTAACAAGCCTCTCCTCTAGCGCGTTTGCCCGCTCCCCCCTTAGCGCCGGGCGGAGACCCGGTTCCGAGCTGGGATCGGTGCAGACCCCGTCTCTGACGGAGCTGTTTCTCCTCCGCTTTCAGCTCAGACGGGGATGGTATTGGACAAGGACGGCAAGAAGAAACACTCTCTACCGACTTTCTCTGGGCAGCAGATTTTTGCTTTGGAGAAAACCTTCGAACAGACGAAATACTTGGCAGGACCGGAGAGAGCCCGCCTCGCCTATTCCTTAGGGATGACCGAGAGCCAAGTGAAGGTAGGTCCCCGCGGGCGCGCCGGGGCCACGGCCCTCCCCGCCGCCGCCTCCCGCTCACTGCCGAGGCAGCGCTGTCGCGTTTTGCTTTTGCAGTAATTACCAGCGACCGTTAAAACTGTACAACCGTACAGGGATTTTTTTTTTTAAGTCAATTATATTTTAAATTACATTTGGATATTGGATAGATTTTGGGCCAATTTCTACGTAACTTATTTTGTGCTAAGAGTTCTTTGTGCTGCAAACGATTTAAGAAAAATACGTATAATATAACTTAAAAAACCTCAAAGCAAACCCCCAACCAAAAAGCCCCCCGCAGGTAATTGCTTTCAACGGGTCAGCTTCCAACGGAGACCGTGTCCAGTAATTGGCACAACTTTACCTTGCATAACCACGCAAATTTTTTAGCAAAGACTGCAAGTGCACCGAAGGGTTGAAGTGCCCTGGCAGCCAGCACTAGTTACTTTTTTGGCCACCATATTCCGTTTCCAACAGATGATGGTTCCGCGAAACCGCTGCTTTTACCGTCGCACAGCTCCGGCTGGCGACATCCCCGGAGGAGCCGGGCGGGTGACCCGAGCGTGTCACTGCAAGCCCCCTCCCCGATGCTGCCCGGGGGCCCCGCGGCCTTGCCGCTCCCCGCGCTCTTCCCCAGCGGCGGCCGCGCCGCTCTCCGGCCTCCTACCCTGCGCGGGCTGCTGCCGCC